CTAGCCTAAAATATTCCACGAGAGGAATTCAGCCAGCACTTTCAAGTGTGCCTAGTTGGTCTGGCCATTCCAACTAGCTCGGGCTTTGCTACCTGTGAGTCAGCCTGCAGTTTGGTTGTGAGTTGGGGTTTGGACTTCTTTTTTTAAGAATATATGCCATACACAGGCTTTTAAGTGGAAACTGGATCAGAAGGATACAACTGCAATTTAACTGAAACACATTCCACTTCTGACTTTCAATCAAACAGAGAGCACTCAGCTAGTTAAATTTACTCTTCAGTGTCTAGAAATTATAATTCCTCCTTCCTCATTGCCTGATTTTAATCCCTTCTCCTCTCATTTTTGCAGAAACACAGAGAAGGGAGGAAAAGGAAGCTTTCTCCTCTCTGATCTAGTTGGTCAATACCTCCTATCAAGCTGGTTTACGCTGCCTTGGTCAAGCAACATCTCTCACAAGGACAAAGGGCTGGCCAAAGCACAGGGTCTCTGGCATAGCAGGAGTTACCTGGGCCACATTCCCACTGCGCTGAACCTCTCCAACAACGCAGAGCACACACTCAAATTTCAGGTACACTCATCTGCTTTTAAGCAGTGATGCCTATGCTTCTCTAGCAACTCTATTGCTTTCCCAGCTTCCCCAAAGAAGTACAGGACAAAGTGTACAAGAACAAGCACTCCTGTAGCTCTGCCTGTGCTGAAGTGCAGCTCCATGGCTGCAAGCCAAATAGAAAAAGCAAGCACAAGACAGAGGAGTTGGTGTACTGTTACCTACAAAAGCCAGCACAGTTTAATCTCTTCAAAGACTTTTGCTGCTGCTTACACTCCCTTACTTTCAGCCACAGGCAAGGAGATAGCTCAATAATGGATAGAAGCTGGAACAACTGACAAAGCAACACAGAAAGTATGCTAACAATAACTGCTGAATCCAGATTATAAAGGCTGAAAAGGAAGTTATATATGCTGCTAGCACTAACTCCTGGAAACACGAGGTTAATGCTTAAAAAAGTGCTTTGGGAAGCAAACCCAACTAATAACACAAGTATGCTATGTGTAACCGTAGCACACACATGGACATTTATTTGTTCTGATATTCAATTCTAGTTGAAAAACAAAGATTTAATAGTGAAAACTTTGGGAAATCATATTTTACTTGCTGAGGTCCTACAACAAGATCCATTGAAACTGCACAAAATTTAGAGTAATTAAATACAGTATTCAAACTAAAATTATTAACAATTACTAATTAAACAAAAAGAAAGATGGAAGACAGGAAGAGAGGGAGAAAACAAAACAAAAACGTACCTTTCTGGCATTAGAAGATATTGTGTTTGCCATTAAGCTTTCCAGATAACTGCTCAAGCTAATGCCTTTAACAGTAATAATTGCTTCTTGAGTTAGCACAGTTCTGTAAGAGAATAAAGAAAAGTCAATACCTAAACTGAAATGGACTAACATAATGTCTCCTATACAGAAAGAAGCACACAAATATCTTTACTTACTTATCAGGGTTTTCTGGATGAGGTGTGTAAACCAGTCTCTCATCAACAGACACCAAGTTTGTGAGAGTAATCTTAAAAAGAAAAAGAGCTGAAATCCTCATTTCCCACCTTTCATTTTTCTGTTATCAACAGCACTACTCAGTAGCAGAGCACTCAATTTAACGTCAAGAGACAAAGCAGAGCACACAGAATATAACATGCAGAATACACTCAATAAAAAGACCAATGAAGGATGATGCATCTTCTCCTATCCTAGATCTAATTATATCGATCTAAGTTCCTATTCACAGTGCGAAGCACAAACAGCTTTCCATTTGTTTTCTCTGAATGTTAAGTTTTATCTGATTTATGGCATGCAATTCAGAGAGGCTCTTCAAGACCAAGATCACCATAACAGTACTGGGAGTCTACATAAAATTAATACTCAGAAAAGATGATGTCTGTTGCACAGAGACAAGGCTGTCCTACAGACAACTCAACTTTAAACCTGATAGTTACAAGTTCCCAGGATACCAAAATACAGCAAAATACATCATTTACATTTTGTGACAAAGGGCATTTCAAATTAAAGCTTTTGTTACAAATGGCAGTGTAACGTAGAACAAGTTATTAATCTGAAAGTTAAACTATTTTACGTGCATACTGAGAAATAATCTTACATTAAAAACAGAATCACAAATATTTGATTCCAAAGTATTTAAAGTGTCCTACGAGTGGGAAGAAGGAGCAAAAAAACAAAAGAGCCAACTGAGACGCCAACTAAGATGCAGAAACTGCCACTTCCTGGTGAAAGATGCAAATACATTTCTAATCTAAATGTTAAGAACAAAACATCTCCAGAACTAGTTACCACAAACTTCTTAAGCTATGACTCACATTAGTTGAGCAAAGCTCCATCTTTTTTTCCACTGGATCTACCACAGAATGTTCCTCGATGTAAGTCAAAGTTCTGCTTGTTCCTAAAATCTGAAAGGGAAGAAAAAAATTTAAAAAATTTAGAATGTTAGGTACTAAAATAAAAAAACAACCCTGACATGCATAAATGTCAAGCTTCTAGTTATCCCAAATAAATACAAAGTAATTCATGGATACCTGAACACTGTGATGCAAGACTACATCCTGGTAGGTTGTGTCAGTCATACAACATGACACAGACCAGTCTGGAAGGCATGTATAGACATGCACTGCAGGCACATTAAAGTCTACAACACATTCTCACTACCACACATGCTGCTTACAGCTTACATTATATTTGTGGACGATATTTCTTATAAATTCCTATAAACTCGCTATGAATTCAGCTCCAGTTCAGATGATGACATAAAAATGCACCACACCCTTAATAAACCATTACGTCTGCAAAATCATACCGCTTTTACAATACTTGGCAATCCCCACTCTGTGCTGAGAAGACGGTGACTGTGCAACCTCCCCTGGTTATCAAGGCTTCTGTCCAGGACATCTACCCCTACCACACATGGATTCATTGGGTTGGGATACTTCCTCATAGCAGCTTTGATCACTGTATCCCAGGGGTGTCTGTGAAAAGAAGAGGAGACAGTATTTGTAACTATATTGTATTTAATTGCAAGTATTCAGACAATGCTAAATCTGGGATCTAGCTTGCATAGTATGGCCTTGTAGCCATACATCCTTGTAGCTCCCAAAAGTTCCTTCAGAATTCAGTGACACTTGGAATGGCAATAAGAAAGTATTGATACACACATGGAAAAAAATTAATAAATCCCATCTTCTGAGAGAAGCAAGGAATTATTAACCCAAGACTAACAGAAATGAGGGCAAGGGGAAATAGCCACAAATTGCTACCGGTGACATTCCAATTAGCTGTGCAAAAAACCCACAATGACAGGGCAGCTGTCCACAGAGGCTGTTGAATCTTGAGCCATTTCAGAACTCGACCAGAAAAGCAGCCTGACCTAACACTTAAGGTAGCCCTGCTTTGAGAAAAGGGCTGGATTAGATGACTTCCAGAAGTCCACTCCAA